TCCAACGTATGCAACATTCTCATAAAATGGAACGCTAATTTCTTGGCTATAGCTTTCTAACGTAATGTTTGCATCGTTTTTGGTTGGCGAATTGGTTATTCGATCATCAGAATCTTCACTGCTACTGTTTCCAATGGAGTCCAGCCTCCTGGTGTTTTCTTGATGCCTATCTGCTACGTTTCTTAGCATCTCCAACTGTTCATCAAGTAACATTGGTTAAATCTTTATTCACATATGAATGAAACTACTTAGGATGGTGTTCGAGTTGTAGTATATAACCACTACGATACCTGGTTAAGTAGGGCTTGATTCTCTTTTTTCAGTGACTCAGACTTAGATGCCAGTGTCTCATAGTCCTGCTTTAGGGTGTTGTACTCTTGCTCGATGTGCCTCGATTTCGATCTGGCTCTTTTGTTCTGGAACCAATGAGTTTTTGTAACCCGCCAACCCAACCCAACCCGCCCTAACCCGCAAGGGTTGGGTTATACTTTTGAATGGGTTGGGTTGGGTTGAGATTTTTCAAACCGCCGTAATTGGGTTGGGTTGTAAAATCGTCATAAACCGCCCAACCCAACCCGTGCTCACCCCTAATAATAAGTTGACAAGTGAATTTGTAGAAAAGTATAAGTTGTTTCAAATAAGCATTCCCAAACACCCCCTAGAATCTAGTCGAATCTTTCTTTTTTGTTTGATCATACTTGCTTTTTTTTTGTTTGTACTGTTAAAGATTTGCTTATCCCTTTTGTGACTTCATTACAATGATCTTCTGACTGTATGAATATGAAAAAGAAAGATTAGAATGAGCACAAGGATGATGGCTTATGGTGTAGTGTTCTGAAGATCGTTTTTAAGTTGCAACTACTAACTATATAAGTTGCTTATCGTGATTGTGTTCAATCTTGCAGTGACAGCTGTCTTGACGATGGCGACTTTAATTTCTCAAAATGCGGCTGTTAAAGATAGAGTTAAGAAGATCAAAAGGAAGGCTCTTGACGAGTCTTTGCAGTTGGATGTGGTGCAAGAGATGGAAAATTCAAAAGATTTGGATGTAGTGAAGCCTAAAAAGAAAAAGAAAGAGCTCATAGAGAACAAACAAGCTGAAATTGAGCAAGAAATGGAGATGAAGAAGCTGGAAAACGCCTTGTTTGGCTCTTTGCATCCAGTTGAGTTTGGGAAAGACAATGACGGAAATGAGGATTCTGCTTTGTTCTTTACTGATCGTTCAGCCAATAGCGTGTTGTCTGTTTATGAAGAGGATGGAATAATAGTTGGTACAGATGAACAGATCCAACGGAAACCTGTATGGGTTGATGAAGAGGAAGAAAAGACCAACATAAATATTGCTAAAGTCAACAGGCTGAGGAAGATACGACAGGAAGAGGATGAGACCTTAATATCGGGTTCTGAATATGTATCAAGACTGAGGGCTCAGCACGTTAAGATGAACCCAAGCACAGAATGGGCTCGACAAGACCGGAACTACAATTCGGACGAGGACAGCGATCAAGAAAATGGAGATGTTGATAGTATTCTTCAGACTACCCAAGATCTCGTTGTGAAGAGCAGTGCAAAGTTGTTGCCGGGATTACTGGAGTATTCGAGATTGGTTGACGCAAATGCACAAGACCCTTCGAGTGGTCCGATTAATTCGGTACAGTTTCATAGAAATGGGCAGTTGCTCCTTACTGGTGGATTAGACAAAAAGTTGAGGTTTTTTCAGATAGATGGAAAAAGGAACACGAAAATCCAAACCATCTTTGTGGATGATTGTCCAATCAGAAAGGCATCCTTCACACCGGATGGTTCGCAGGTTATYCTATCGGGAAGGAGAAAGTTCTTYTACAGCTTCGATTTAGTTAAGGCGAAGATGGATAAAATCGGTCCGTTGGTTGGCAGGGACGAGAAGAGCTTAGAAACTTTTGAGATTTCACCTGATTCCAACACAATTGCTTTTCTTGGCAATGAAGGGTACATCTTATTGGTCTCATCCAAAACRAAAGAATTGATAGGAACTCTCAAGATGAACGGAACTGCACGAGCTCTAGCATTCACGAACGGGGGGCAACAGTTAATGAGCACTGGTGGCGATGGGCAGATCTACCATTGGGATCTTAGAACAATGACCTGCTTCCATAAGGGTGTCGATGATGGCTGTATAACTGGTACTGCACTTGGTTCTTCCCCAAATGGAAACATCTTTGCAGCAGGTTCTGATAGCGGGATTGTAAACATATATAACCGGGATGAGTTTTTAGGGGGAAACAAAAAACCCATAAAAACCATCGAGAACTTGACCACAAAAGTAGATTTCATGAGGTTTAACAGTGATGCACAAATCTTAGCCATTTGTTCAAGCATGAAGAAGAACAGCATGAAGCTGGTGCATATCCCTTCCTTCACGGTTTTCTCTAACTGGCCGCCATCAAATAGGACACTGCAGTATCCTCGGTGTTTGGATTTCAGCCCCGGTGGAGGTATGATGGCRATGGGCAATGCCGCTGGTCATGTATTACTCTACAAGTTGAATCATTATCAACATGCATAGAGACTCGAGTAAGTAATCGTCTACCTGCTTTATCTTATCGAAGCATGATTTTGATCGCACAATTGTTTTACATATCATGGGCTTTTGGGATAGATAGGTTATATGGCATCTTATTTGCCATTTTTGCTTTGATTTCACATTGTAGCCTGTTTTATTAACTCTGTTTTAGCTTATATTACAATTTCTTGTATTTTTGACATTCTATGGTCTCGTCGTCTCGATGGTTTCTAAAACATGTGCAGTTCCTGTTGTGTTTGTTTGGGTTAAAGTGAAAAGCTGATGACAGTTTCAAGTTTCTACTATAATTCTCAGCACTTGTATCATAGCATCTATTATTGAACAAACTGGTACCTGATGAGAGTCTTAAGGAACTGCTTAATGGTTTGAGCGGCTTTATTCGCTCATACACTAGTGTTTTTTTACGGGTTAAGCGATTAAGCCAAGATGGTTATATATAGAATAAGCTAGGATCCTCACTTGTTCCTGTTTAGCCACCTCAAACAAATTGATACCATAATCAATCCAACGTTCTCTCTTTGCTTCTCTCAAACCTATGGCTCTGAAGAACAACAAATTTTTTCAGAAAGACAACTTAGGTGCCGTTTACCAAATACTTACCCGGTAAGTGTTTATCAATAAAATTTAACACTATTATTTACTTACCGGGTAAGATTTTAGTCCACTAAAACGACATCACATGCAAAAATATACCCGGTAAGTGCTTATCGTGGTAAGAGTCGTCGCCCTTACTTACCGGGTAAGACTCTTGGTCTTTGTCTCGCTCTTTCCGGGTAAAATTTTTGGTCTTTACCATATTCGTCTGGTGAGGGGATGTGACTTGATAAGCGTTTACCCGAGTAAGCATTTGGTAGACGACCCTTTAGCCCATGCATGGTTTAGTAGAAAAAGAAGTAAACATCTCCTAAAAATGCTAGGAAACCAGAAAGCAGGTTAAAAATCGTTATTTTGGGGTTTGTAACAATGTTTAGATGGTGTTAGGCCGTATCCGATTCTTTGCACAATTATTCCCAGGTTTTTGCCGAACATGTGCATCTTTAAAATAAATCAAAAACCCACGAAGATGTTCTACCTGGTTTTAACTTCCACCGTTTGACGGATTCGTTAAGTTTGTTGGTTGATTTCGAAAGAATATCGTTTTTTTTTTGTTGATTTTAAAGATTTTCTTAATCAATGTTCCTTGTATGTCTGATATCCAGAACACCCCTCAAAATTTAAAATAAAAAAAAATTGCCAAAATGGGTGAGTGGGTGCCCACTTCTTGGGACCCGCTCAACCCTTTGTAGGTCCCGTCTTAAATATAATTAGCGTTGTAATATTATTTGTTAATTTTTTAAAATAAAATAATATAATATGCCAATTTTACTTGAGGTCAAATTCTAAGACTCATCATGAAGAAGGTGAGGTTTTAACCTATCAAAAACTGGTAATAAACAGTTTTTTATAAGTCAGGAATGATTAATTTATCAAAAAACTGCTTATTGTTGGTTTGACACTGGTATAAACAGTTTTATCTTTTCTCATCCAAACACTAGTATTTAGTTTATTACCGGTGTCAGACTGAAATAAGTCAAAAAAACCCATAAAATAAGCAATCCCAAACACCCCCGTACTTCGAAAGGGAAAATTTGTTGGTCTTTCGATCCTTTAGGGGACAAAAATGTTGTTTTCTAAGAAGATCCAATAACTTATGGATTAAAGTAATTGGGTTGGGTTCACGTGAGACAAGTCTGTTTTCGTGAGACACGATTTTTATACTTGAAATTTCACAATAAAATGTTGTGAAGATAAAAAAAAAATTGAATATTCACAGCACAGCAAAAACACTGTAAAAGTTGCTTTCACAGCGTTTTGCTATAAAATTTCAAGTGTAAAAATTGTGTCTCACATGTCTTACGAAAAACAATCTTGTCTCACATGATCCCAAATCTAAAGTAATTAATATCATCGCAAAAGTTACTATTAGAATAATGCTCTAAATTTTTGTATAAAAAACATTTAAATATTTGTGTAAAGTCATTATAATCATTTGTCAAATGAGTTAAAAAACAATACTTGAGTGTATTTTGAATGATTTCAAATTGTTAAATTTTATGAGGTAAAACTAAGGTGTCGTTTATCAAACGGTTATCCGAGTAAGCGCTTACCAAATCACTTTACTTTACCGGATCAATATGACAAGAACTAAAAATCTTACCTGGTAAGAACGAAGGCAAGAATCGAAAGTCTTACCCGGTAAGTGAAGATGAGGACATTTACCATAGTTAGCACTTACCGGAATAAATTGTTGCATACGATGCGTTTTAGTGAATAAAATATTACCTGGTAAGAGCGAAGACAAGAATCGAAAGTCTTACCCGGTAAGTGAAGACGATGACTCTTACCATGGTTAGCAGTTACTGGGATAAATTGTTGCATACGATGTGTTTTAGTGAATAAAATCTTACCCAGTAAATAAGCGATATTGTTGAATTTTACCGGTAAATGCTTAGGTAAATGACCCCTAAAATAATGTTATTTTTAATCAATAACAAAAACTATTATAAAGAATAAAAGTAATATCATTTTTATGGTACTGAAATTATAAATATAATGTAATTTTTAATCCAAAAATATATTTTATTTTTCACATTTTAGGCTATGTTTTGCTTTGAAAAATTAGTTGTTGATAAATTAATTGTCGTCTGAAAAATTAGATGATAAATTTAATCATGTTTGATAAAAATTATCTGATAAACTAGAAGATAAATGTAAACCAACTTATAAGGATATGTTAGTCAATTCTAACATTAAATTATATAACTAAAACAAATCATGAGACTTGGGATTACGTGAGACTAGTCTGTTTTCGTGAGACCTGTAAGACCACTTTTTTACATTTAAAACTGC